GAGGATGGGTAAGAGATATTTAAAAACGCGAGTAAAATGTGAGTTTACGGTATATTGTTACAACCAATTTAAAGGTTTTATATTAATTGTCGTGTACAGTGTTTCTATTATGAGAAATATCGGATAACAAAACCTAACTGTGTGTGAGGTTAAGGCAAGATGAAATTTGGTGGAACAGAAATCTATCAAAACTATGCGATATTCGGAAAGAGTAGTCTATGCAGCTCTATTTTGCCCGGTAACCGATCCAGCTTGTTCCCTAGGGTATGTAATAACGAATCCGTACCTAGGCCAGATTGCGAATACTACACTGAATCTAATACTCTAACGGTTAGAGCCACGAGTGACAACGTGCAGTCCGATCTTTTACGCGTGAAATTGAATGATTTTCTGAGCGTCTGTGCCATGATTTTGGCTGCTTATATAGTCGATTTTTGCTGATGCTCTAGGTACGGTTAGGACGTTAGGAATGCACTCGGCTAACTAGCTGGGTAGGTAGCACGGGCAATGCACCGGGTAACGTGCTGAGTCTGCAATTATGATTCCTGCTGGCTACGTTATTTTTCTGTTTTGGAATGAAGGTCGATATACGTAACAATACCTCGAAAATTATTATTATTATTATCATCTAGACTCTACATTCTCACCTTAGGTTTAAAGAAGTTCATTTTTGCGAAGGATGAGGGAAAGAGGGACACATTATTACAGTATAAAACATGTTTTTATTGCTATTATTATTATTATTATCATCTAGACTCTACATTCTCACCTTAGGTTTAAAGAAGTTCATTTTTGCGAAGGATGAGGGAAAGAGGGACACATTATTACAGTATAAAACATGTTTTTATTGCTATTATTATTATTATTATATAAATTATTCTTATTACTACTACTATTACTAGACTTACAAAGGTATATTTCTCACCGCTTCCTCGATATTTAACAAATTTTCTAATGCCTCCTCTACCTCTGGAGACATTAGAAGCATGTCACTTTCAGGGTATAGAGGAAGCGGTGGCGACGCCGGTTCCGTTTTTACTACTGCCTCATCGTCATATATTGTTATGACCTGCGGCTGAAAAATTTTATCTTGCAGCGCCGTAAGTTAGGCACATACATTATCCAGCTGCTGGCGCATAATAGTAAGGTCGTCCTGATTGCAGGATTTTTTTACTATAAACAGGAATAATAAGTATTAAATGAAATTCTTGTTAATAAAAAATATAATATAGCTATAGAGCGTACTATTTTTAGACTCTACTTCCTCCTCGTAGAGTCTTTTCACATCTCGTTGTGGTCGTTTGGCCTATGGAACTCCTGACACATCAACTCCCTGAGGAGAGATGTTACTGGATGGTAACGTAAAATTTTTTTAAAATCTTGCTCCATTGCAGCCACTCTGCGGTGCTTGTAACTAGTACTGAAGTGCTGTACCATCTCTATCCACTATTTATAAAAAAGGATGAACTATCCCTACCACACAGTGGTCAAAAAATGTGACCATCCCTTCCACAGACCTACAAGTCTTTTCCTTATTATTGCACAGACCTAAAAGTCTTTTCCTTATTATTGCACAATGGAGTGATGCTATAGGTCCTAGGGTTTTTTGGGTGGTGCAGTTTTAGATAACTGTCTTGGGAAAAATCGTGCACGCCCAGTTTAAGAAGGAAAACGTTAAAGACTGTGAACACTTTATTTACTTTTTATTATTCCTTAAAAGTGTACATAGTCGTAGAACATTACCATAGTCTAAAATTACATAAATTTACAATATACCGTATGGTACTGAATCGTAGTTATCAACTAATCGTCGCTTCACAAAATTATTCTTAAACGTTTTTGTTTCGTTTCGTGTAATGACATCGTGCATTGGGGTTCGTCTTAAGGATTTATAAGAAAGAACCACCTCTTCGTCTCCTTCGGGCGAGATACCAGTAGTTGCAAAAGATTTTAATGTGTCAAAGTTGATACTTTTTGTATTTGCATAGTTAAGACTAATACCCTCAACTTTACAAATATAATCGGTAACACCTTTAGGGGTTTCAACTTTGTACGCATAGCACTTGCGACCACACGATGCAAACTCGCTTATATAGCTACCTTCTCCGTAATCTTCTAATTCATCGGTTAAATCTCCTAAATTCGTCCCTGTTTGTAAATCTTTAGAATCAGGAGTGTCCGATCGAATGAAAATGATACTATCCGTATCGTAATACAAACATTGTCTACCAATCTTCTCAAGAAGAGCATACAGTCGTAGTCTAGCCTGAGCTGTTGTGTACGCGGCAATCACAACGTTCGTAATTCTCGAGGGTTCGATAGTATCATCTACGTTACACCAGTTAATATATACCACATCATCGCTTACCGGGAGAACACTAAGTATCTCTTTTTTAGGATCGCTAACTGTCTCGAGGAATGTTTTACCATCGGTTACAATCGTTGTTTTTGGTTGATTTTCACGTTGACCAAATTTTCCCCAGAATGAATTTAGACATAATTTTGCTCGCAGTTCTGAGTTTTTCGCTACGCGCTCACGTTCGAGTGTAATTCCTTCAGCCTTTTTGTAATCATCTAGATACTTCTGTTTGCTCTCCTCATCGATGCACGCTATAAGCCAACCCGAAGATTCCTGTTTTACCTTTAAGAATGTATCAATATAATCGACAAACAAACCACCTATACGTGTACTAGGGTCGTACTGGCTAACCTCGTATTGCCATATTTCTTCAATTTTCGTGATGATATAACCCATGCCGACTGCTTTTTGAAGTTCAACAGAAACCCACGTACCTGTAAAAGTCCTATCTTCCGAATTTTCATGTATACAAAGATTCTGATTTAACGCATCACAACAAGAACGACATAGCGCAAACATTAGTTTACCGTACATTCTTACAGGTAAAACAGGATGATACAAATTTCTCGGTGGTAGAACTGTACATTTTATCAGTCCTTCAACTTTTGATATGTCATTATCATCGCCTATAACCTGTTTACACTCCTCATCTATATAAACTACAGGATGTCCCACGGGGAACTTGTCGTGCATTGTCGAACATTTACAGTGGGATAGAGCGAAGTAACATCGAGGTATCGAATCTGTTCTCCCTCATTAACCTTATAGTACGTTCGAATGTTACGAGTGCGACCCCCGTAGAACGCATGCCTCGGAGCGAGGCGACTCTTTTTTAAAACTGGTGGCACCGCGTGTTCGATAAAGTTTTTACACTTGTTATCCGTGGCTCGTAAATGACGGTATTCATGTTCCCAGATTCTAATGTTCTAATGCGTGACGACTTTAACATGGTGCGTTCATATCGCTCATTCAGAGTTAACCACACATCATTAACAATATTTGCTTTATCCCGATCGCTAGGATAGCATTTGGGACAACCGTGAAACCAACAACCGTAGAATTCAAATACTGTTTTTTCACTATCTGATTCATAATATCCATCTACCTTCAAGCCACCGGGTAACACCTTTTCAGCACCACGACCTGCGTGCTTTATGCGATATCCGCGTTCATGCTCAATCCACGCAAACCATTCTAATGCAATGATCGACTGGTTATCAAATCCTCTGTAACCACTTTTGGGGATAATACCGATACTGTCTTGTTTTAAAAAGTTAGTTCTGTAAACAACACTACATGCGGATGCGATGGTTACAGCTTTCGCAAACGGGCAAATTTCAGTGATCTCCAGAAACATCTTACGAAAAGATAAACAACCCTGTCTCAAAAGATTCACATCCGATATACAATATCGTTTAATCTCGGCAGCAAAATCAAACACGTATTCGGTTTTGAAAAGTTCATCGTACCAGGTAAAAAATTTGGCACGATTTACAATCTTCATCGTATCAGGGGAATAAAACAATATGTCTGGTAGTGGCCCGACGTAGTGTTGAGTTTCAGGTCTGTTAAATAGATGAGGAAAATATCCTTTGACTAACGAGCTAGGGAGATTGAAAGTTTTTGAAAATCCGGATAGCGGCATACTTAGGTAACATAAAGAATCTAAGAATCTAACTTTTTCAAAAGAAATCTCAAGGATATTAGTACCGTTCAATATAATCTGTGGAGTTATTTTCAGTGTCTCTACAATATATTTCAGTACAAATTGAGCATCAAACCCCCGAGCATTGTGTGCTATACATATCACCTGTTTGAAATCTTTCATATCTATAACGAGATCTATAAACTGTTTTAAGGGTTCATGATCAAAAACGAATTGACGAATACCGCAATAACTACAGAGGTAGGACATGTCATTATTGTACATACATTTTTCACATACTTTTTGAACTACACAAAGATTAACATCGTGAACTTTAACATCCGGGTTTCCCATCTGCTCGCGAACCTGCATCGTTTCAAAATCGTAAAATACAAAAAGATTTTCTTTTACAGGTGTGTTTTCTTTTTGCTTGGCTAATTGAATATTTTTCTTTAGAGGTGCTATGTAACACCAATGCCTCAGCGGCCTATTAACACGACACGTATGACAATAGCGTTCGTAACATCTATGCTTAAGCCTTTTCTTAGTCATGATTGATATTCCACAATACTCAAAATTTTTTATTGCGTCACATATAGATTTTGACTTAGCATATGAGTTTCGTTTGAGGTGATTAGCAAGACAATCGTTACCATGAAATGTACGCCGACATTTCAAGCATTTAACACCTAACATCTTATTATTACAAGCAGGGGATGCTCGACACAATGGACACGTTCCCTCGCATCTGTGTTCTCTGTTATAAGTGGCCCGACAGGCGTAACAAAATTTTTTCATCGCGGTAGCGCCGGTCATGTTCAGTATTACGTCAAAATGATTTTCGTTAAGGATCAAACGCATGGTACCCGACAGATCCGCACTCAGGGGATGCTCGACACAATAGGCACGTTCCCTCGTATCTGTGTTCTCTGTTATAAGTGGTCCGACAGGCGTAACAAAATTTTTT